ATCAAAGCCCAGTAATCTAAATATATAAATCACCCAGGCAGACATGCACCTGACTCTACTGTATTCCTCTTGCAAAGACCACATCTTGCATGGACGTCCAAAAGCGTCACTGAAAACGTAACAAGCGTTTCGCCAAAAAATTACACAACGTCAGAATGACAAAAATGACAAAAGAAATTAAAAATAAGTTCTGTGTATTTCTCAGCGGCAGCCAGAATATTTTAGGTAAAAACAATTAATGAAGGACACCCGCCTTCTCACATTTAACCACTCGAGATTAGCAACAGAAACCAGTCTGGTAACAAACTTGCGAGTTGTGACGTTTTCTAAACCGCCGGATTCCCCACAAACACACAGCAGCATCATTAACAAAAAAAGTAAGAGACATTCAAATAAACTTCGAAAAACTGATTTCAATTCTGTCCTCTCCAATAGTTGGAACTGTAACAAAAAAAATGCTCCCCAGTTCAGCTCGTTGCGTTCTCCCAAGATGTGTTTTTCAAGGACTACAGCAAAGCTACAGGGCATGTTATATAGACAGAGACGGAGTGATACATCACCTGGTTAAACAGCGTGGCCTAAATTCCTAGAACCAGCTGCCTCGCCGGCTTTTGAGGAAATAATATTCCAAGAAACAGCAAGAGCTCAATTCTGAGAATCCAAGTAGCGGCGCGTCACACTCTCGCCAGCCGTAGGGGTGCCCCTACTTTCTTGTCACGGCAGATCAGCGTTAAAGTGTTTCTGTTTTTCATTTTCACCCAAAGTTTGTAATAATAGCTGTATTGAAAGCGACTCACGCCTATCGGCAAAAGACAAGTATATTTCGGGGAAAGTTTCTTAATCCCCTTCACCCTTAAGCACCCCTCTCTTCACTTTGTGTAGTACAACCTGCTTAAAATGAATGTCACATGTCCCTGTCCGGGTAAACACGCTGATCTCAGCGCAATTTCTCAGAAGCGTGTTGGCAGAGGTTGATGTAATTTTAAACTCTCAGTGCTTTTATTCGGGGGTCGGCTGGCGTTTCTCGTACAGTTCGGGGGTCTTTCGGGGAAATTTTGGATCTTGGTACTACGGAACTTGGGTGTCAGTGTATTTTTAGTGAAGCGTGGGTTGTGTGGTGGTTTGTGTGTGTGTGCGCTCGCCGTGGGGAAGGTGAAAGTAAGCAGATAGATTTCTCTTCTTGTTCTCGTAATGACTAGTCAACCGGCGTGTGCGGCTTCCAGCAATATCATCGAAATTTAATTTCACCTGGATTCACCTGGTTGGTATCCACACATGATATCCAAAAGACGCCTTTTTTCCCCATAAGAAGAAGTAAACAGATTTTAAGCAAAACCCTTGGTTTTTAGTACTATAAATTAGAAACAAACTCCTGACAGTGCTAATTCACAATCGTGAAGGATCAAGGGATTTAGAAGAACAAGGGTTCTCTTGCAAAACGTTTAGAAATACTGAGCCATATTGCAGTTGACGGAACTGTCAATGGCGCATTTTCAAAGCTGTAATATTCAAGTTCTGTAACAGGTGCTAATTCATCCACCTTTTTCTGTAAACACACACACACACAGTTAATTCGGGGTGCAGCGGTTCGATCTTGTGAGGTTCAGACCTATTTTAATGAGGTGATATTGCAGATGGTTTCGCGTTTATTTCATGGTGACAATGGAGTAAACGAGTCGTCAGCGGCTGGGTTGCTGGTGCTCCCAGGGCTGTTTATATCAGAGAATATACGTAGATCACAATCTGTCTTTGAAAATACATGTTAACTATACTTGCGATAAAGTACAACAGCAAATTTACTTGCTCCACAGTTTGCAGTTTGTTATTGTACCAGTTGTCAGATTTTGTGTGAACAGAGTGTGTCGAATAATCGTCTGGTATAACAGTCGGTCTGTGCAACAAAAGGCGGAGATGTCCAGACTTGGCAGGACGTGCTCTCAGTCAGCAGGGCGGCCCCGAGAGCAGAGCTCTGGAGCTGCTTACACTCGGGGTGCACAGGGACCGGCTGCTGGGGTCTCCTCTGACCCCTCGCTTGTTCTGCATGAAGAGTCCCGCCTCCCTCACTGCAGGCCTAACGAAATGAGCCATGCCTTTTCCCCAGATTCAGAGGACTCGATCAATAACGGAGCGTCGGTCTTTGGGCGAGTGCGATGAGTGGTGTGTGCTCAGTGAGGAGGGAGTGTGCAGTTATCGAGGCTCAGGGTGATTATGGGCCAGGAAGCTGACAGGTTCTCGTAAGCTTTGCAAAATCCGGTGGGAAGGACGTGTAATGACTGATGTATGGGTTGACGTCTTTTATGTCATGTTATATTGATTTTTCGTGTAGTGTTTGTATGTTTTTTTGTAAGCCTCTGTGTCTGTAAAACATCCCATGCCTTCAAAACAATTTTCTGATAAATCGGGCAATAAAGTATCATCGTATATAGCTATTCAGTTCGGTTTAACACCCTATATGGCTTCGGTTATATCCTTCATGATGCTACAAAAAAAAAAAAACTTAAGCCTGTTTATGAATTTCTTTCTTCTATGTAAAGCTCATTTTTGGCGCACGGGGCAGCTACACCCTCGGCCTGTCAGTGTCCAGAGTAGCAACCCATCTCGACCACAGAACCACGTCTCAGGGCGGTGACGCAATTGGAAAACGGTGACGAAATAGGCCTGGAAAGTAGAGGCAGGATCCTTAAAAAAACTTCCAAAGTCGGGGTAGAAAAAAAAGGAGAGAAGTTTTATTTATATCGTTTATATTGTAAGCCCTGCGGTTGAAAAACGATAAGACGGAGTAGGTGTCGGGTTAGTGTCTGGAGAACGTTTAGTGAAACGTGCCGGGGAAAATAAAACTCGTTTTAGAATTGGCGTTTAGTAAGTTGCTGATCTTAACTTGTCATGTGGGGGGAAATCGCTCTTTTTTTAAAAAAAATCCAACATCTAGTCTTGGTCAGTTATGAATAAACAATGCACTTCAAAAACTAAATCAGTTTATTGGAATCGGGCAATGCAAATGCAAACTAGCTGATCCAAAAACACCGAATAACTGCCCTATTGAAAGCTTTTTCATGTTGACCCAAATGATTGAAAGACAGAGGAGGCAATATCGTGTATATCTTTCTTTTGCAGAGAAATAATAAAGAAGTCGGAGAACGAAAAGGAGGGACTTGTTTTTTAAGGTAAGACTTTCAAAATGATTAACTGTTGTTACGGCTGGTTAGCAGAAACGCTTCCCGTTGCTGCTAAAAAAAATAATTTATTGACAGAAGACGTGGACTAGATGCATAGACCCAGTCACGTAGTCGTGTGCCTTTACGACGCGCAAGAAAGTGTAAATATTGCAGCGAAAAACAGCCCCGGCGGGTCAGAGCGCAACTGGTTGAATCAATTTGAAAAACACTGGTAATCGAGCGCAGCCTTGGGCTCGACTCTTTATTACAATCACATCGATATTTTCTCCCTTGTCAGCTGTGCCCAAAGAGGCGGTTTCTATGTTTGTATGCTTAACTCATTTTCAAAGCAAGTTTAGTATTATTACTGCTTTGAACTTAACTCGCCTTTTACATAATGAGATTGCGTTGGGCCTAGCTGACGCCGGGCTCGAGTGTGCCTGCGTGGTCGGTGTCTGCGTGTGGTCGTGCGGCGAGGCGAGCCTGCTTGGCTGTAGCGATTCACATTTCCTGATATTACTAAAAGGGCAGTGAGGCGCTGATATTATATTTAGGAACCGTTGGTTTTCATCATAAACACGTTTCTGACTGAATCGTAGACCTTAGTGGAGTGAAGTGCCGAGATTATATTTAGGGCACATAGGTTTTAGGATAAACAAGTTTCTGATTTTAAACGTAGACTTTAGTGGAGACGGCCGTGGGAGTAGTTTACACATTTTCAGTCTAGTAAGATGGGAATTTCCTTCGCTATTGTCGGTTTATAAACTTGATAGATTCGCCATATAGTAATCTCCCGATTTGGTTAAAGAAATTAAGCACTGACAGCTTTGTGTTCATTTTGATATCTGGGGAAGTCTATTTAATTAGTAACCTTTTGTTCACCTGTTGGTAATGTTTACTGCATGCTAATCTTAACTAATGTTAAGTCATCTTACAAAAGAACATGGATTCTTGTAAAAGAAACTTATCCTTTCATATACTTTAATACTGTTAATTAAATGCCACATTTGACTGTGCTGTAGACACTGCTAGAGCCACTGCTGTCCCTCTGCTCTCACACTCACCCTGAATTCACCAGCACACACACACACTGTCACACCTGACTGGACTGTAGACACTGCTAGAGCCACTGCTGTCCCTCTCCTCTCACACTCACCCTGAATTCACCAGCGCACACACACTGTCACACCTGACAATTCCCACATTTTGGCAGAATTTTCTTCTTGTTTTAACCTCATTAAGGTTAACAAGGCACACTTTTAAATTGGCACTCAATTCTGTAGAAATCTCACCAGCAAGGTCAAACACCGAAGCAAGTGCTGACAAAGTACAGCTCCTGTTGGCTGCTGAGATGCTGAGGTGGGTGATGTACTGCAGTAAACAAAACTGCCTTTCAGGCTCATTGTCTGCCCATAACAGCAGCAATCACACAATCAGACCTACTTCTCAAACTGTGTCCATCCTGATCCACTGCATTGCATAGCTGTAGTGCAACTAGTCCTTAATTGTCAAATTCTTGCTGCACATTATCAAAACACTGAGTACCAGTTGGCAGTAAATTCCTGTAATGATGCACATTGGAGGAGCCACATTATGTGACTGACACTGATATTGTGAATCCTGTACCCGTTGTCAGATTTAGGTACTGCTTACACGTGGTATGCTCTGCCAGAAGCACTGCTAAGACCTAATCCCTTACCTTAGAGGCAGAGTGAAGACAGGCAGAGGGCGAGAGATCAGATTGCAAGGTGCCCTCTCTCTGAATGCGCTCGTCACACAGGACTGCATTAACGCTCATGTCGGCCTGGAGAGAGATGGAGAGGGCATCGCGGGGAAGGTGTAAGCCGATCGGGCCTGGAAATAGATTTGCCAGGGGCCGTCCGCTCAGGAACTGTGTTCCCTTTAGAGGCCTGTCGCTTGGAAACTGGGGTAATGAGGCTTTGGGGGCAGGAGTCCTCGAGCACCCAGGGAGGGATCCCAGCAGGAAGGGCAGGGGAGTGCAGTGGGCACAGCTAAGGTACTGCGCGCCTGCCGACTTGCAGCTCCGAGTTGCTCTTGAGAAGCCGGCTTCGTGTGCAGGAGGGCGCACTGTCTGTGCTCTGACGGGGAAAAAAAAAGTCATCAGGCGGGACTGACAGTCGAGGCGCCGGTGGCAGTGGCAGAGGGAGGGGAAGCCTGTCCTGAACCGGGCCTGACCCCTCAGATTTTCCCCGAACCCTCCTCCCCAGAGGAAGAGGTGTGGACAGCCACACCATCCACCATCCCTCCTTCCAAACAGTGCTGACGAGGCAGTTCTTATTGTTGTGAGGTCTCTCTGACTGGCCCTTTGAAGCTCAGTTGTGGTGGATGATGCCTTAGAAGAGCCACAGAAGCAGAGCTACTCGGTGCCCCCCGCTTCCCCCCCACCTCCCACCTCGCCCTGGTTCCCAGACTTCAGGACCAGGGGGACGAGAGCCACGATGTTCAGCCTATATCCAGCGGAGCGTCTTGTTGGTAGGGATGAAGAGGGAGGGAGACCGTGAATTTCCCCTTGTGCAAAAATGGACCCGATCCAGTATTTTCACGGGGGGGCACGGTGATCGTTTGACAGCCCTGTTGCTAGCGGAGACGCCAAGGTAACCAGTCTTCCCCGCCGACGAGGTGTCAGAGTCGATGGTTTAGTGGGATGCGCCCACGGAGCTGGTTACTGGTCCTATGGCAGCCTGCTATGGATCTGCTGTGTTTGTGCTGTATCTGTACCTCGTGTCCTGCAAAAGGGTTTGATTGAAATGCGCGGATGCTCCCATGCGGTCTCGCGGTAGAAGCGCAGGAAAACGAGGAGGGGTCGTGGTGGGCTCCCGCGGCCGCGGGTGGATGGGCGCTGACTCAGCGCTGGCGCTGTTGCTGTTGTCCCGTCAGTCCGAAGTCTGAGGCGATATCGCAGCCGAGCGTGGAGCCGTCCAAGGTCGCTGCTCTGGCGCGCCGCCGGTTTGCCGGGGGGGTTCCTGGCGCTGGTCTCGGGGTCGCCTGGCCGGCATGGGACGCCGGGTGGGGGGGGAGGGGGACGAGGGTGGCACTGTCCAGCGCTTGGACGCTCAGCTGTGTCCAAAGGAGTGCAGAAGCGACTTCATCGCATCTAAAAATCGCAATGAAGACACAAGAAACACTGCAGTTCGAAAAACCCTGAGACAGACCTTCGTTCTTGTTTTTTGTAACACTGCTCTATATCGGTGCCACCTTAAGATAATCGAGACGGTCTGTGTAACAACAATGAACGCTGAGCTCCCTTGTCTGTCGCTTGTAGTTTAAAGCAGAGCTGACCAGCCTTTCTGAACGGGGGTCCATTTCCAGTGCTACTGTGCCCCCCCAGGACCATTACTCCTTAGGTTTTGGCCAGGATTCTGAAGCAGAGTGTTGATTTTGGATGAACCCACAGTATTTTCCCCTGTGATTTAACTTCTGATAAGAGAAAACGGTTTTAAAGAAAAAAAGTTTTTCGTGAAAACAAAACTCTTCCTCCCTCGTTAACAGTGGATGATGTCAGGGCCCACTTGGCTGCCCCCGAGGACTCTGGCAAGCCCAGAGCGGCCAATCGCCTCTGTCTCCAGCGCCAGTCCGGCCTTCTACAGACCGCCCAAAAAGGTTGCCGCGGAAACCAATTCCAAATACGGCCACTTCGACCAGAACAGTGGAGGGGGAGTCGGCATGGCAACCAGATACATGGCGACGGGGCCTACAGGTGAGCTAGATCTTTCATTCCTTTCATAAGGTATGTAGCACCGTCAGACAATGAGAAGCTCCACAAATTAAAAGTGATATACAGTACCATCTGAAGCAGCCATGAGAAGAAGCAGTATCTTCCTAGATCATGGCATTTTCAATACACAATTTTGTTTTTAAAAAGGAAACTGCTTTTATTTCAGTAGACCCTAATTTCGATATCCAGACTATCAACTTGGCTCAGTGCTACACTGATAATACACCGGCAGAAAATGGCCAAACACAAACCAGACCACTGATTTAAAATGGAAAACAGGAGGAATACCTTTACACAGAGGGTGGTGGGAGTATGGAACAAACTATCCAGACATGTAGTTTAAAGCCAGTACACTTACTTCTTTGTACAAGCAGCTGGATGATGAGATCCTCTGATTGATTAGTAAGGAACTAGCAAGAGAGCTGGGTGGGCCAGATGGCTTCCTCTCATTTGTAAACTTTTTTTGCCTGTATCGTGTGGACTCTGCAGCGTCAGGCTGTTGCTCCTTTGAAAAGTAGAGCCCTGCTCTCGTTGCCAACACGGCTGGTTCCAGGGGTCCCCCTGCAAGCAGAGCGAGGTCCTGTCAGAGTTCAGTTTCAAATGCTTTCTGTTCAGATTTATTTTTCCAACCACCTGCCATTTTATAAATAGGGATTAGAAGTCAATGAGTCTCCCTTGGGTCAATTTATAGTAAAAGGTGTTGGCTGCCTGCTGCATTTAGGAGAATTTTGGTCACTTTGAGCTTTAATGATCGTAAAAGTGTGATTATTGCGCACTACTTTATCCCCTTTCTGTTGAAAAGAATATTTGTCCAGATGTGTTGTTTAAATCCTAGCATAAACAAACCCTCCACTGTTTAAACAATGCTGATATGGGAACTGTTTCAGAGGCTGTGTTGCTGTGATCAGCATCTCCTGCAAACTCTGCTTTAGGGCTGAAGAGCCTAGACGTCGGTAAGCTTCTTCTAGCTCAGCACAGGAACTGGCTTTTTGCTGAGTTTCAAGGGATTGCTCCATATCTCCAAAATCAACAAGAAACCAAAGCGCTCTGTGCTTGGGGAACTGTTTTCTCGACATGTTAGTAAAACAGGTTTATATGGGAGCGATACCCTGTGATCCAGGACACAGTGTGCGACTACACGTCTCTTTGTGGTACCCAGCTGGGATCCAGCCCACTGCAGAGAGCAGGGCGATCTCTCCTGCTTGGGTACGAGCTCACTTGCTTCCAGTCTTGTTCCCGAAAGCACTGTTGACAAGGATGCGGAGCACTTTGTCATCTGAGAAATTTCACCAATGGCTTTTCGGTGCCGTGAGGGACGTGTGGGTGTGTCTCGGCAGGTGGGATGATGCCTCACAAGCACCAGGAGGACCCTGGGCCAACGGCCTTCTGCCCACTCTCCCCCCAGTCAGGAGACCACTACTACCCATCATCCTCTGCAGGCAAAGAGGAGAGACCTTCTTGGAGCTCCCAGATGAGTGCTTTTGACCTTCAGGTAGGAGACAAAGCAGTTTGGACATGGAGGTAAATGGGGAGAGATGTGTCAAAGCAGTACTGTACTTATTGTCAATATATGCACGGCTGTGGAAAGTCTTGGGCATGTTGGACACAATTAGGCATCTTACATCTGTGTGATATGCATATGAATAATCTTCTCAAAACGTCCATATGTGATTTCTGCTATTACTGTTGTTGTTTTTACTTTGACTGTTAAAAGTAGAGCTTGGTGTGGGTTGCAAGAGACCAAGTTTGTCATTTAGCAATCTGTTGTTCACATTGATCAGTGCCTTTTTTGAGTTCTCCCAAACGTCATCACAGTAGCTCAAGGTGCACGAGCAGCCAATGTGAAGTGTTCTAGCTAGTCAAATCACTTTTGCCAATCCAATACGATTGACTTACTGTCCGGTGCTTACCATTAACGTCACAGGTTCCAACACACATCTGTAAAGATGTAACATTTTTGTGATACACGCTAACCCTTTCTGAAGATCATCACAGAATTGTTTCTGCCGTAAGAAGAAAATGTATTGAGTGGAAAGAGCTGAACAGTGCGTAATGTCTCAGACTTTTGCGCTATAAGGTTCGGTTTTCTTCTTCTGTGTGTCTCCATTCCACACTTAAAAGAGCTATTTTTATGTTGTGTACGAAGCACATATTTCTAGTAACATGTTTTTTTTTAATCTGGTCGGTCTAGCTCAATCTGTCTACCTTGTACAGGTGTGTCAGGAGGAATGGGTAAACATTGCTGTATCTAGGCCTGCTACATCGGTATAGACCTCTCTTGGCAGAATTATGGCTGTAACTCATGGAAAAGATGCTTCCAGCTATGTACTAACTTGGGAGTGTGTACAATTATCCCGCCCTTTTCTGTAGGTTTTTGTCTGCAGCGAAGTTTCAGAATATTTCAGCTTTTGTTTTTCACCCAGAGGGGGTGTGTTAGGATGTTTAAATAAAGGTAAAATAAATCCTTTTTTTTTCAGGCAGTTAGGCCACAAACTGTGTTACTTTGGAAAAGTTTAGTGTAGACGTTCTGTAGACACTATACCTTATTGAAAGATAAGCTTATATTGCCCATATTTGTGTTATTAATATATAATCTCTTTCAAGTTAAACATCAGAACTTCATAATTTAGTTTGCAAATCTGTTATTACAAATATATTTAAATATTTATAATAACTTAGGTTTGTGAAAGCATTAAACAGGTTGGTGAGTAAAATGACTAAACTGCTATTTAAAGTCCAGTGTAACGGGGTCTTGACGACACATCTCAAAGCAGATCTGAAAGAAAATCTCGCTCTTGCATCCTGCAGTCACGTGCCTCCGACAGACAGGGGGCGCCACTGTCCAGCATCGACGCAGAGATCGACTCTCTCACCAGCATGCTGGTCAACATGGAGAGTCACCCCCAGACCTCCCGGTCACAGGTGAATGAGCCCCCTCCCTCTCATCAGTGAATGGTTCACATTCATGCGACCACAAGAGGGCGCTGGAGTCACTGACCATGTGTTATAATGTGTACATAAAGACACAGGCTGGGGCAGAAGTGACTTCTAGATATGAATTGGAACTAGGCTGGTGTCTCACCGCAATAATGCCATGCTTGAAAAATTTAAAGGATAAAAGTAATTTGAGCATCACCATAAATGGACTGACTAATGATATTTATTTTTGTAATTAGCCAAATTAAGTAGTGAAAACCTGGGAAATTTAAGTTTGTGAAGGCATTAAACAAGCTGAGGAGTAGAAAGATCTACTCACCAAACGCCCTGTTGGCTTAACTAAGAGCTCAGAGTGATCGCCTGTCTGCATTTACACCTGAAGGGAGAGAGTGATCACCTGTGCACGATTTCCTTTCAAAACCGTGAGTGCAAATCCGGTCAGTAAAATAAAAAGGCTTGTTGATACGCGGTATCAACAAGCCAGTGACTCAGACGGTAGTTCCGCCAGTGACTCAGTGGGCGTCACCCTGGGAAAATGGCAGAAACACATTCCTATTGGTTTGGTGCTTGGAAAACGTCTCTGCGAAACCGGTTGGTTTGAAGGTGTAGTTAGAAACAACAAGGGATTGCAAAACGAACAAATAGTAATTAGAGCACTAGGCCAAAAAAGGAGAGGTAAACTCAGCTGATGCACTGCACATGGGTGGAGACTGTGGGGAAGGGTTGTAAATACTGAGAACGGGACACGCAGAGGGGTGAGGGAGTCTGGAACAAGCTGGAGCGTCTTCAGTGAAACGGCCAGGTGAGATTGTTGGATCATTTAGCGACAGAGCTGCGTGTCCTGCCCCTGTTCTCATGATCTGCGTTTCCATTGCAGGTGTACGACAACATGCCTTACGCCAAGCAGCAGGCAGACCGCTACAAGCCCACAATGCAGCCAGGCGCCTCTGCGCAGGGCAAGCCGACACCTGCCTACCACCACGCTTCGGCGCAGTACCACCGCGCGCCCCAGTATGCCAGCGGCTCGCCTGTCTCTTCCAGCCAATCCCCCCAGTCCTCCCAGTACAGCCCCGGCAGTGCCCAGCAGGCCTACCCTTACTCCTCTCAGGGCGCGAAGCCGTACCCCCAGCCCGTGCCGGCCTCCTACACCACCGCCTCCACCCCCACGGGGCCCCGATTCAGCATCCAGGTCAAGACCGCGCAGCCCGTCAGCACCTATTCCCAGACTGGTCGGCAGGCTGAGCAGGCCTATGCCCCTTCCCCGCCCCGGCAGCCGGCCTCCCGCCCGCTGCAGGAGCGCAATCCTGGCTATCCTGACCCGGGACAGGCCTGGTACCGCCCCCCACCACCGCTGCAGCCCCGGGACGAGCAGGAGAGTGGCTACAGAGGGGGGGCGCCCTCAGCCGCCGTCCCTCGAGCCAGTCAGACCAGCCTGCCCACGAGGAGCCCAGAGGCCCTGCCCCCAGCCCCAAATCAGGGCTACCAGCAGCACAAGGTAGGATGATAATAATAGTTAATAATAATATTACACTTCTACAGCGCTTTTCTGGACACTCCACTCAGAGTGTTTTACAGGTAATGGGGAATCCCACTGTCACCACCAGTGTGCAGCCCCACCTGGATGATGCGCCAGTACTCTCCCCACACACCAGCTCTCAGTGGGGAGGAGAACAGAGTGATGAAGCCAGTTCAGAGATGGGGATTATTAGGAGGCCATGATTGATAAAGGCCAGGGGGAAATTTGGCTAGGATGTCGGAATAACACCCCTACTGTTTTCAAGAAAAGCCCTGGGATTTTTAATGACCACCGAAGGTCAGGGCCTTGGTTTTACGTCTCATCTGAAGGACTGCACAGTTCCTATACTGGGGCATTTGGAGCCACACAGACCGCAGGGTGAGCGCCCCCTTCTGGTCCCACTAACACTTCTTCCAGCAGCAGCCTCAGCTTTCCCAGGAGGTCTCCCATCCAGGTACTGGACAGGCTCTCACATGCTGAGCTTCATTGGGGCTGCCAGGTTTAGGGTGATATAGCTGCTGCCTAAACAAAGGACACGTGCTCAGGGTCTGAGGAGGGGAGAAGTGACTTCTGCAAGTGTGTCACCTTGTCCTGCCTTTGTATAATCACACCGTCTGGCGGTGATGGCGGCTTTCTTTTCAATCTCTATCCTCTCCACCAGGGGGCGATAACCCGGCCAGAGGAGGAGCTGGACCGGCTGACCAAGAAGCTGGTATACGATATGAATCACCCTCCAGCGGAGGAGTACTTCGGTAGGGTACCGTGACAGGCCAGGAGAGAGGCATGGGGGCAGTGGGGAGGGGGCCATTATTTAAATCGTGATATATAATCGTGACCAATCCCGCCACAGCCCCCCGTGCGCAGCTGTGTGTACCTGACGGGAACGGGAACTGGCTCCTAATTCTGTCTTTCTCTCTCTCTCTCTGGCCCCGGCCGCCTCGCTGTCGCCCCCTGCAGGCCGCTGCGCGCGTTGCGGGGAGAACGTGCTGGGAGACGGCACGGGCTGCGTGGCCATGGAGCAGGTGTTCCACGTGGACTGCTTCAGCTGCATCACCTGCCACACCCGCCTGAGGGGGCAGCCCTTCTACGCCGTGGACAAGAAGAGCTACTGCGAGAGCTGCTACATCGTGAGTGCGGCGCCAATCGGTCCATCAAGGTTTATTCATCAGTGCACAAACAGTACGGCGGACAGCGCTGTTGTCCGCGAGCTGGTTCAGAGGGATAGAAGAGTAGAAGGACAGGAATTTATAGGGATTAGATGGACGGAAAGGAAACAAAATGAGGATGCGCTAAATTACACAATTGCAATTTACAGTACAGTTACAGATTGTGCGAAAGTAACACAAGGATAGGAGGTATTTAGCGCTGTTCATATGTGTCCTGAGAGTGCAAGTGGCAGAAGGGCGCCGGTGCACCTGTCAGTTCAAGGAGGTAATTGCAGGCATCTGCTGTGGTTGGCTCTTTAGCAGTCTTACTGCCTCCACTAGCGAACCGCATGAGTGGAACAACAAGATAACAAGAGCTGCCTCCCATCCCCTACACTCCCAGTCTGATGATTCAGATGTAACATTCCTGCTGTTACTCTTTTAAACTCTGATGTACAGGCCCCTTCAGAGCATTGCATTGACAGCATGCCCTGTGCATGCACACAGCTCACCCC